TTTATATCAATTACCATTGACACTTCAATATTATTTATCATTTGATTTTTTAAATCCAAATTTTATTCATATAATATTTGATAAATTAAATAAAGTTGATGGAAGAATTAAACCATCATTTTTTGATGAGTTACAATTTCATGAACACGGTTTAGAACAAATTAATGGACCTAATGAATGGGAAGATCAAATACCAGAAGATATCGATTATGATAATGATGATAATGACGATGAAGAGGTAATATGATTTTATCTTTTTTCTTCTATATATATATTCTTTTCTCTTTCTATTCTAGGAATATGATAATGATGATGCTGATCTTTTTGATGAAGAAGGTCTTTATTCAGATAATCATGATGAAGATGAATGGTGATAAGTTTTTCTAGTCAGATGTAATATTTGTTTGTATATAATTGCATTTGTTTTGTTATTGTTATTGTTGATGAAAAAAAGAACTTCTGTATTTGTATTTATTCATTGAAAAAAATGTATAAAAGATTTTTGAGACCGATATTTATATTTTGATCTTGAAATTGTGAATGTGGATAAAGAAAAGATAAATTTACACCCACATCTTTGAAAACGAATAAAGTTCTCGAAAATTTAGTTTACATGTTTTTTAATTCAAATATTCAAATGATTGATATTGAATTAATATTAGTTAAATTAATTTAATGTATTAGAAAAATATTTGAAATAATAATATTTGTAAAGATAAAAATGATTCCTTCCCAGGTCGAACAATCCGGCATGGAAACGGCCGGTTCTGTGGTATTCCGGAGATTTCATCGAAGCAGTATTCTCGTTGAACGGATCCGGTGACCAGATTTATCTAATTTGAGCCGGAATTGACAGGAACATGTCAAAACCGGCAGCCGGGTATGGTTATCTCACTTCTCCATTGGATTCTTGGCATTTTCCGGACGGGTTCCGCCCAGAAATGACGAGTTTCCTCAGGCATTTTGTCGGAAATTCATGGAATCCTGCTTCAAGAACCATCGTCCTAGGTTATTAAGAATTTGATAAATATAAATAAGTAATAAAATTCAAACAGGAATAGAAAAATCGTATCTTTAAAAGCGGGCACCCAATCTTCATCGCTTCGATTATCTCTCATATACATGTGAGAAAAATATTGAGATTGATGCTATTCGTCAAGTTCATGCTTGTTTCGTAGGAGTTAAACATTAACTAAATAAATATAGTTCTGACGATTTCGTCTCGGCCACCAAAGTTAACTATAAATAGGCTTAAATCAAACAATGATGAAAACAACTTGAATTTGTATTTTCTCATCTCCTTTATAAATACATGTAATTTGTTTATGCCAATAAATTGATACCGGTTATCAATTAAATTCGATGTTCTTCTTTTTTCAAAAATGTCTTTGCACTATTTAGAATTCGGCTTAAATTGAGTGAATGAGGTTGAAATAAATATTCATAGATAGTGAAGGATTTTCAAATCACAGCATATCTTTTTCGTTTTTCATTAACGTAATTACTACAACCCATTTGTTTTCTGTTAATTTACTGCATTATGTAATCTTATCTTGTAATCGATCAAAATCATTTCTGAACGAAAACGACAGTTTTTCGGAAAGGAAAATAATCGAAAGTTTCCCTTAGTTATCTTTCAGCGGGATGTCGAAGTGTAAAACTACGCTATATATCTGTTATCAATAACGTAAGTTAGAAACAACATTTTACATTCGAGTAGCTATATAAGAAATCTTAGCCAATAGAAAGAACGTCTGACTTGTGTTATCATTTTTTTCGATTTATATCGTCTCTTGGATTTATTTTCAATACTTGACCGAATTGTTTGCTTAAACAACCTCATCATATCGACAAAATAAAACAAATGTGAGTCATCTATATGTAGTACTTAATAAGTACGAGGCGAGCGAGAAAATAAAGAATATTACAGTCGTGTCCTTTCTTTTTCTTGCCATTTTATGATTAATACTCTCATTATAGAGCAAAAAATCAGCCGACATCAACATCATCACCATCAAAACTAATAAAAAATCAAGGAAAATCGAACGGATTGTTAAAAAATATTTGTATTTGTCAAGTAAGTACTCTATATTTCTGATATTTTTCTCAAAATGTTTTTATACTTTTGCCCAGATCAAAAACAACGGCAGCGAAAACGACCGTAAACAATGTAGAAACGGTATAAAATAACAAAAATCGGTGTTTTCTCAACGCCGTTTCCGTTGGTCGGAATGATCGTCCTGGGTGTTATAGCGTACTCTTCGGATATCACATATACCTAAACGGCTGACAAGTGAACAAATCATCAAATCACTTAGTCGGCATAATATTGAAGAAGTACATATACCAATTGATAACATGAGTCGTCAATTTGGTTTTGCTTACATTACATTTGAAACAACAGACTCATACGACAAATTTTTTAACAATATAACAAGTATTAATAAATACATATATTTGTCGTAAGTTATTTTTTTAAAAATTTAAGGTCAATTTAGGAACAGAGAACTGAAACCTCTGTACAACCTTTTTCTATTTGTAGAAGTTAATGTTCTATTGTTTTTTTTTCTAGATCTGATTTTACTTCTGGTCCACTCCGTTTCTCAACAGTCGATCCAGTACACATGGCAAAGCAGAAAGCGTTTTATGAGTAAGTATAGTTTAAGTATTTAGTTTAGCTTAGAAAGAATTCTTTGTAATGCTTCGAGGAAAAAATTGCATTGAATACATTGGAAACAGTGTTATGAACAGGATATTTATTTATCATTTTCTAGATTTTTCTGTTACGAAAAGTAGCATAAACGCTTTTGTTGTTTATAACTAAATCAAAAGAGAGATTAAGCAAAAAAGTTACATGTTATGCACTTTGTCACATAGGAGAGCATACTATGACGATAAATATTTCAATGGACGCGCCGGGCAAAACCCTCAGGAAACTCATCGCTTTCGTCAGGAACTCTGTTGGAAAATGCCAAGAATTCGACCTTGGAATCAGTTCCAGGTGGAACCGAACGAATCCGCCCAATAGGAATACTGCTTCCATGAAATCTCCGGAATATCATGGAGCTGGCCGTTTCCCAGCCGGATTATTTGACCTGGTTCCAGATCTCAGCTCAGAAGTATTCATAATAATTATTTTACTATGATTGGTGTAAATCATAGTGAAGTAGGTAATATTTCTTATTCTTTATCATTTTACTGACTTTATTAAAATAAAAAAATAATCATTAAACTTAAATCTTTTTGTTTAGACATACAATGACTAACCCAACAAATCCTGATGATGAATTGGCGATAAATATCGGCAATTTATACATGCACAACAACAACAAATTCAAAACCGAAATGGTTATTGCTGTTGAAGCGGTTTTTGATGCTCAAAAAGAAAAAGATATACAAGGTACCTAGTGAAAAATTTACCTGATTAAAATCTGATTCGATATTCATCTCGAAACTGTTCTTCGTATAATCAGGCATCCGTATTGAGATTCTCTTGTTCAAGCAGGACAGTGAGATTAGGTATAGGTTATCGTGACTTAAGATATCTGGTAATACCTCTTCAGTAGCTAAGATTATATTGAATAACACTGTTAACTTTTCTCATACACTAGAAGTTGCTAATAGACTTTTTCACGTATATCTTGTCCAGGGTGACGTAACTAATATATATATAACACAAACTTTCCTTATATACACATGTTTCACTGTCAAGATATAATGTATCTCTAAAAGTAAATCTAAAGTTTTTCAACAGTCACCCTCAAGATGTTGGGCACTACTCGGTCCTTTGAACAAAAAACTGGTTTTTAAGAAAAATCTAACAAGTTTCGGCAACTGCCTGTTTTTTTTTTCTAGTTTTTTATGAACAAATTTTGATGGAGAATCTTCCGAAAGCAGAAAAATAGATTTTTGAAAAACTTTTTTTCGGGCGAGAGATTTTTGTGAAGATTCGATAGAAAATGAACGGTTGGTGCGATTGAGATTTTTCAAACACCAACCGAAATACCAACAAAGGCTCTACCAATGACACATAAAAAAAAAACTTCTGAAAAAAATTTTAAAAAAGAAAGGGGGGTACCCTTAAAAGTGTTTTGTTTTTTCATCTTTTTCTTAAATAGAAACGATTTGTTTTTGTTTTTAGAACTAGCTCAGCTTCAAAAACAAGCTGATGATAAAAAAAAAGAAGCTGATACAGCACAAAAACAAGCTGATCAACGAGCCGAGGAATTTAAACGAAAATATGGCTCAATGTAGAAATATTTTCTACTTTGTATTATTTTTTTGTGTTTTTTCGTTTTTGTTTTTGTCCTCTTCGTTTTTTTTTTGTTTTTTTCTGCTGAAAATGATCCGGAATTCCGATCAAATTCAGTAGATACTATGTTGAAAAAGTAGCCATTTAATGGTGAATAAATAAATTTGAAATTGATTATTTAATATCAAAATAGAATTGTGTCATGGTACCTAAATCTTTTGTGATATTTTTTCTCTGACAAAAGATTATGATAAAGTCAAAAAAATGATTCTAAAAGTCGATATATAGCGCTATCTATCATAAGTAGTGGTCAAGATTATTCATCGATTTGCTTATCTTCAATCAGATCATTGACTCAATCCAAATCTAAAATATCTTATTGTAAAAGAATATGAAAATAAATGTTCTTATATCTTTTTCTGTTAGATAGAAAATCTCAATAATGTCTTCTAATGTACCAACAGTATCACCTGATAAGGAAAAAAAACGTCCATTCGTTTCTGTAAAATGTTTATTAAATATAAAATCGATTGTTACTCAAAATATTTCATCAAATCGTAACAGTAGAAATTCATTAACATCAACGTTGCCACCATTACCACTTGTTGACCCATTAGTATCACCAAAACAATCAATTAATCATTCAAGTAGTACTAAAGAAATTGAAGAAGCAACATCAAAAAATTTGCAATCACCTTCGAATCAAAACGTTGTTATTAAATGTTTAGAGAAATCCTTTAATGAACGAATTAGTCCTAATAAGTAAAATGCAAATATCTATTAAAACTATTTATTTAATTTTTTCTATAGTGAACATGATCAGTCCAATATTGAAAATGATAACTCACAATCAAATAATGATAAAGAACAAAAAGGTAAATTTTGTAAATTATTTATTATTGAAATAAACTTTCTATATTAAAGAAATACAACCAATTATACCAATCTTTATTTCTAAGGAATCAAATTCTGAACAGATTCCTGTTCAAATAGGTATGTATATTGATATTATATGAAAGACCATAATAGTATCATTGATATCATAGATTTTGGAATAAAATCTTTTTTTTTCGAGCAAGCTGGGAAAAAAGCTAATCACACGTGATTCAGTAACATTCCTATTGTATTTGTATTCGTCTATAAAAAATAGTTTTAATTCTTTCCCTTCTTATCTATATGTATAGACATCGATGTATATATTTTTTTCTTTTGAATGAGTATCACGACTTTCATATTGGTCTGTAAGTTATACATATATGGTATTTAACTCTGATAATATAATAAAAGAATAGACGGTAGGAATTTTCATATATCTCTTCGACGATTTTTTATAGATTTGATGAGACTCACAACAGCGTTTTTCGTTTTTTTCTACTAATCGTTAGCCTTTCAATGATGTAATTAGAAGTGCCATATCAATTTTTATACAAAAGTCTTACCAGTAAAAACTGAAGGATGAATCTGCATGGACCCTCTAGCACCTTTGATATTATACAGATGATTTTTATTCATATCTGTAGAGAATTCTTTGAATACGTGTGAATACATCTGTTGGATTTTCCACTATTGACTTTAATTTAATGTTTGTTGTTTTTTTCCTCTTCTCTGTGCGTATATATACCCTATGTATCTGGATTTCTTCTTTCTTGACATACGTATATATATATATTTATATATGTATATAATGACATTCACCATCCATACAATGGTCACATACATTGTTTATTCGATAAATATTTAAAGTCGTAACTTTATCCTAATCTTTCTTCGAAAACTTTTTAAAAAGGCGTTCGTTTTCATTCATCACATCTAGTACAAAATAGACAAAAAATATCAAGTTCTCCTAATTTATTTACATGTAGATCCTACTGAACCCACAAGATACCATTTTTGTAATAAAATGAGACTACCGCTCAAGAGATATATACTAGAGAAAGCCTAATAACATTTTTATAGAATAAAGACGACGATTATTTATATCTTATGTGTAGTTGATATAAATCTATTTTATCTATCCTTAATTAGAATAAAAAATATCTTCGATTTTTACAAAGAAGAATAATGTATAATAGAATCTTTTTTTGCAGTTTCACCAATGACAAATAACGGAACATCGATGATACCACCACTTCCATTAAATTGTTCTATATATCCTTTTAATTCATATTCATCTTCTCATCATACCAAACCATCATTATCATTCCCTGCTCAATCATCAAATCGTATTAATGAAGAATATCTAACGAAGATGCATCAAATTATTGAATCGTCATCATCGACAAATTCAAATGAAACAGAACCCATTGAACTTCCTATTCATCATTCTCAATCAATACCCATACATAGACTTGATTGTGCATCACCAGCGATGTCAAGGTAGTTTTAAAAAAAAGAAGTTTTAATTTTATTAATTTGTTTAGTTTGAATAGGGATGATAGTGAAGATAATAATATTGATCTAAGTAGTCCACTTGTATTCGTTAACAGTTCATTACATTTACAAAGAAAGTCAGATATTTTACCAACTAATAGAGATCAAAATCGATCAATAAAATCACATTTAAATGGGCCTTCAAAGCAAGAATATCATAGTAACCAAAAACTAATAAATAGTCATGCTCAAAATCCTCGATTCAATCAACGTGGTTCAACTAATTTTACACGTTTACCACATTCATTGCGTGATAAAAATGGTTCATTTAATTCTCCTTCATCACCAGGAACATTTCAACCACCAGCAGCCAATAATGCTTTTGGACGTCGTTCATACCCTCAATTTGAATCTGTACGTACACCTATGCAAAACTCATCAACAAGAAAACAAGAATCTCAATCAAAAATACCTTCGGAAGTATTTAACTGTTGCCAAACGTAAAATTTCTATTTTTATTTTTTTCTAATAAATTTATTTAACAATACTATAAACTTTCTTTTCAGTGAAACTGTTCGTTCATCAACAGAAATTAGTTCAACACAACGTAATGTTAATCGACGTTATTCAACAACAACTGAAAATCAATTAAATGAATCGGAAATGCGTTCAAATTATTTTCGTGATGTTACAAAAATTCGTGACATAATGTTGAATGCATCAAAACGATTAACTACAGAAAATGAGTTACCAATACCAATTGTTGATACACATTGTCATTTTGATTTGATTTTTGATCGGTAAATTAATTCAATAAAAAAAAGATTTCCTTTTCATCGTTTTATTTTAGTCTTCGTATTAAACATAACAATTTAAATCAATATTTTAATGATTATAAAGAATATTATCCACCGGGTCTTTCATTTGAATTAGCTATTCAAGTTTTCTGGCGACCAAAACATTTAACAGAAGGTAAAAAAGAGATAAATTTACGCATAATTGATATTATTTTATAATGAAAATAGATAATTGGATGAATTGGTATTCGAAATATTTGGATGATGAACGTGTTTATGGTTCTTGTGGTATTCATCCACATTGGAGTTCATCATGGAATGAAACAAGTAATGACGATATTGAACGATGTCTTCAACATCCAAAAATAGTTGCAATAGGAGAAATTGGTTTAGATTATGGACCGAAGTAAAATTAAATTCTTTTTCTTTTTAATAAAGAAAATTCTTTTTCTTTATATTGTTAATTGAAGAAATTCATGTTTACCATATCAGCAACGTCAAGCTTTTGAAGCACAACTTAAATTAGCTGCAAAATGGTTAAAACCAATTGTTATACATTCTCGAGATGCTTATCAAGAAACATTTTCCCTGATGAAGCAGGTATGACTCATATTCTGAATACTATTACGAAAAGTTTGAATATCTTTTTATTCGTTGCTTTATATCAACGATAATAATTGAATTAAAAAATCAAGTATAAACGATGAAATTCATTGTATTCGTTATACTTCTATTTATCTGTTCGATATTTGTTTTTGTCTTAAATATGTTTCCTTTATTTTAGTACCTTGAATCTGATCATAAAATTCATTTACATTGCTTTGTTGGAACAATGGATGATGTTTATTTGTTTACATCTTACTTTACAGAAATCAAATTTGGTTTTACGCCAATAATAACTCGTTTTAATTTTCTTCATACGGTTATTCAACAACTTGAATTAACACAAATTTTATCTGAAACTGATTCGCCTTATTTTATACCTGATGAAGTATAATTCTATATTTATTGATTAACGATCAACCATATTTTTGTATATTTTTAGTTATATGCAGTGTCAAAATGTGCTCATCCCGGTATGGTTTATAGTGTTGTTGAAATGGTAGCAAAAGTTCGACAATTACCTATATCTTATGTTGCTACTCAGTTAAGAGAAAATGCTCGTCATATTTATGGTATTTAATAAAAATCGATTAGTAATTTTTATTT